ATATTCCCAACGTGCTATCTTTAGTGCTGTGCTCAGGTTGAGCCAAGATCCTCCCTGGGGTCTGGTGGCCCTCTCAAATTCAGAGCTTACCACCCCTGCAGCTGAGCTAAACCCCTCTGAGGCCCTTCATTCTCAGCTACCATTCCCATTCCTGAGCCAACTCCCATCCCTGGTAATTTCCCCTCGAGGTCTGAGGTAGCATCTGGGAAGGAGATTCTGTGACTGAGGCTATGACCTTGGGGGACAGGACAGGACCTCTGACAATGCACAGTATGGAAGATGTCACAGCTTAGAAATGTACCAGGGTAGGATTGCCCAGCTATCAGATTCTTGGGCCAGAGCCATTCAGCACCTCTGCTGATCTTGAACAGGTAGCACTCTATCATCAATACCTATAGTTTCTGCTACACTGGCCAAGCCCAGTTGCCTAGATGACTAAGACCCCCAGCCTTCGGACAATAATGTGGCACAAGGCCATGAAGTTGTAGCATTCTTGGCAGAATAAGTGCTGGGCTGCTCCTGGCGCTGGGCTGAGAGAAGGGGTATCTGAGTAACCACCAGACTACCTAGGCTCACTCTGCAGTTGTCCAGTTCCCTGGGATGGCAGTCCTCAGCCTGTCCTTGTAGGAAGTGGCAACCAAAGTCTGCTCTATCCTAGGGGGACAGACAGCATCTTAGGACAAGAAAAAGCTGGATCCTGGGCAGGAAAGACTCATGCATGATGAGCAGGCAACCAGGGAGGTGCAGGGCAGGGGCATCCAAGTGAGTATACACACACATTCACTTGCACATGGGTGTCTTTATGTGTGCGCTCATGTGAACATACACAATGGTGTGAGTGTAGAGATACATGCCCCATAGTTGCCATGGTAACAAACTGGAAAGAATGAGGGAGGGTCTGGGCCTGCAGAAAACTGGATTCTAGGCATGAGTCCATCCTTGGAGTGCATTTACCCCGGAGCCCTCTAGGACTGGACATAGTGGACTGCTTGAACCCTCCAGTGTCACAGTTTCCCCATTCTGTGAGTTAAGTCTCCCAAATCATGATTGTCCCTGAGTGTTCCCCCAGTGGCTTCAAAGTCCTCATCCTTGGCACTTCTGCCTCTCATGCCAGCAGGAACACCAAGGAAAATGGCACTGCTTACCCAGAGAGCCCCCTCCAATGTCTTCTCTAACTCTGAGCAGACCCAAGTTCTGGAAGTTCTAGGAGGTAAGTCTGCCTTTGCTCCCTGGGAGCCCCTCATACAGTTGGTATAGGAGGACACGTGTGGCCTCAGAGTGCCTGTCCCTTCGGTGGGACAGAGCCAGGTGTGGGGATAAGGGTAGGAGCTGGGGCAAAGCTGGGACCCCAGTAGTGCAATAAGCCTGGCATTGGCTCCTCGGTCCTCACATTCATGGATAAGAACAGCAATAGCTTCATTGACAAAGAGGACCTATAGGACACTTACACTTCCTTGAGTAGGTGTGATCTCTTCCTCAAGTATAGCAAGGACATTGCCCCTAAATGGTGACACACACTCATATTTGGGGGGTATTACTGCCACCTCTAGGCTGTTATACTAAAGGACTTTGCTCTCGGGGGTCTCAGAATAGCTCCTCAAGACGCTGGTTTGTTTAAAGCTGGCAGAGGTCTTCAGGGTAGTTAGGAAACTGGAATGGATTTGAGGCAGGGACTGGACTGTTACATCCCACCCCTCCACATTACCCCTAGGCTCACCCTGTGGGTTGGAGAGTGTGTATGGGTCGGCCTACTCATTATCTCATTGTCCCCCGCCTTCAAGTCACTTCAGCTGGCACTGTCCCTCTCCGTCTCAGTGACCGGCCATGAGACACTCCTGAGGCAGGGCGCAGGAGCCTTGGGTCCTACCTCAGAAGCTGGGAAAGGCGGTTATATTTTACCTGGAATGGGGGTTCCCCATTGCCCACCTTTCCTGTATTTGAGAACAGAAACAGTGTTTAACCTTCTCCTTCCTCCACAGAAGACGGTGTCCTTAGATTGACTCCAGCCTGTATCCCCCCACACTTGGGTCAAAAGGCTTTTATTTTTTATTTTTATTGTGCTCTACATTTTTCTCTGCTCCCCTTCCTGCCTCTCCTCTCCCCCCTTCAGCCCTCTCCCAAGGTCCCCATGCTCCCAATTTACTCAGGATATCTTGTCTTTTTATACTTCCCATGTAGATTAGATCTACGTATGTGTCTCTTAGTGTCCTCATTGTTGTCTAGGTTCTCTGGGATTGTGGTTTGTGGGGTGGTTTTCTTTGATTTATGTTTAAAAACCACCTATGAGTGAGTACATGTGATAACTGTCTTTCGGGGTCTGTGTTACCTCACTCAAAATCATGTTTTCTAGATCCATCCATTTGCCTGCAAAATACAAGATGCTGTTAATTTTTTCTGCTGTGTAGTACTCCATTGTGTAAATGTACCACATTTTTCTTATCCATTCTTTGGTCGAGGGACATTTAGGTGGTTTCCAAGTTCCGGCTATGACAAACAAAGCTGCTATGAACATAGTTGAGCACATGTCCTTGTTGCATGATTGAGCATCCTTTGGATATATACCTAAAAGTGGTATTGCTGGGTCTTGATGAAGGTTGTTTCCTAATTTTCTGAGAAATCACCACACTGACATTCAAAAGGGCTGTACCAGCCTATCTAGCTCTCTGTAAACCCTATCACCATCAGAGCCCTGGCTCCCAAATGGAAGCCAGAACAACCTATATGGATCAACAGAGGTTCTTCAGGCCCAGATCTTGTCTTTTTCTACTTCCCATGTCGATTAGATCTATGCAAGTCTCTCTTAGGGTCTTCATTGTTGTCTAGGTTCTCTGGGACAAAAGGTTCTGTCTTAAGTCTCATCTATCTTTTGTCTACAAGTGCTCTGCACTCCTCTGGAGTCACCCTGTGAACAGTAGACGTAGGTCGTCCTTTGGGGTCACCTGCCAGTGACAAGGAAAGAGGGGGCTAGGGATGAACCCCTCACCCCTGCCCATGCTAATGTCAAGAATGAGGTGAACGCCGAACTCAAGGAGTCCTCAAGGCCGTCAACGTCATGATGTTCCTGAACAGATATGGGAGATGAACAGTGAGCTCTGTCCCGGGACAGTCCTCAGCTTGTCACCTGCCAGCGTCTAGTTCTTAGCACTTAAAACTCAAAAAAAAAAAAAAAAGAAAAACCCTCCAAATATTTTATACAGCCTAGCATGGCTCAGACTCCAGGGCCTTTGACCATGTGGCCCGAGGCCTTGGAAATGCACACTTGGCAGAACAAAGCCTCCTGGTGACTGGGCTAAGGGATGAGTTAGTTATCTGTGTCATTGCCAGGCTACCTAGGCAGTTGTCTAGTCCCCTGGGATGGTGGCCCTCAGTCTACCTTATACAAAGTGGCAGCTAGATGTCTGAGTTGTCCTGGGAGGACATCTTTCCTTTCCTTTCCTTTTTTTTTTTTTTTTTTAATTTTTCAAGATAGCGTTTCTCTGTATAACAGCCCTTGCTGTCCTGGAACTAGCTCTTGTTGATGAGGCTGGCCTAGAACTCACAGAGATCCACCTGTCTCTGCCTCCCTAAAGGTATGCGCCACCACCGCCCGGCCCTAGGGGACAACTCTTAAGAAACCTCTCTCAGTAGTACCCAAGCCCACCTATCCACCTCTCTGTAGACTCTATCACTATCAGAACCCTGGTTCCCAAATGGAAACCAAAACGACCCATGTGGATCAACAGAGATTCTTTGGGTCCAGGAATAGGAAAGACTCCTTAGACGATCCTAGGCACTTGTTACCCTAGGACAAGATAGGACTCTAAAAGCCTTTTTGTGAGCAGGCACCAATACAGAGACCATCCTAAATGCCTTCAAAATGCTCAACCTTGATGGCAGGGGCAGCATCCACAAGGAATAGTGAGTCTGGCTTAAGGGCTGGGGATATCCACCCTGAAAAGAGACATGCCTGGGCCCAAGTCCACCCCACCAGGCCCTCTTGACCTCTTAATTCCAGGACCTCAAATAGCCACCCTGAGACCCTAAGAGCAGAGTCATTTGGAATAACTAAGAGAAAGGTTATTCCTGCTATTTGTCCCTTTATTACCCAGGGAGGCATCGTCCATCTATTGCTGTCTTAAGCCCCTTTCATACATGGCTTACTTAAACGTAACACTAGGGAATGGAAACGTTCTGGTGTCCCAGGCATCTGCCCCTTACTCCATCAGGTACCCGCTGTGAGTCACCATGGGCTCCAGGAACCATTAGGCACCTGAGTTTTGACGACAGGTTGGTAGGATGTACACATCAGACTATCCTCAGGTCTCCCACAAGAGGAGCTGCAAGCAGGAACTTCCCACTCTTCCACAGAGCAGCTAATCTGTCCCTTTCCGCTCTCAGCATCAAAGGTCTACTAATGTCCCAAGCCAACAAGATGACTGCAAATGAGGTTAGCCCAACCCCCACCCCTAAAGTATATCAGAGGGCAGCTAGGGGCAACATTCCCCCAAAAGTATACACCACCACTCTGCTACTAGCTAGCTCAGTAATAGAGGCAGCAGACTAGGAGGCAGGAATAAAGCGTAGGTCCTAGCTTGTCTATACCATGTATTCTCTACCATCACCAGCACACACTCCTGGTAGCCCCTCCCCTCTCCCAACCCCTCTTCCTTACACCTTCCCTTCTCCCACCCTCTTTGTCTAACCCACTTCCTCCATTCCTCTTCTGACCCCACCTAGCATACATCCCCAGCCCCTCCCTTGGCTGGGTTCTAAGCTCTCTGCTCCTCTCCACCCATGAGCAAGTCAACCAAGAATCAGGAACCCGGGCTGGAGCCACGGCTCAGTGGCTAAGAGCTTTGCTTGTTCTCCCAAAGGTCTTGAGTTCAATTCCCAGCAACCACATGGTGGCTCACAACCATCTGTAATGAGATTTGGTGCCCTCTTCTGGCCTGCAGGGATACATGCAGTTATTAAAAAAAAAAAGAATCAGTAAATTATTAAAAAAAAAAAAGAATCAGGAGTCAAGTGCCTGAAATTTACTGTGTCTGGGCTGGAGCCCAGGAACCTGGTCTCTCCCACCACCACCAACTTGATGAATCAGATGCTAGAGTTTACCTTCAGTGTGACTGGCAACTACAAAATGCTGAGCTATAGGTCCTCCCACATGCAAGAGGCAGCATGAGCTTCTCCATCCTTCAGGCTGCAAGCTGAAGCCAGTTCAATAAAGTTGGACACACAAACTTGCCTGTGAGTGTTCATTAGAGGGGGTGTGTCTACCAGAGATCCTTCTGCTCCCTACTCTTAGACCAGCTCACCCTCCTCTGTGCTATCCTCGAATCAGGCTAAATGTCTGGTCATACAGTTGAGACAAAAGTTTTCCTACACCTGTCTACCTCAGACTGGCCATGCCATGGTCTCCAGAACTCCCTCAATTTCTTACCAGAAATCTTCTACTCACTACGGCCCCTGAATAGACACTCCCTGCAACAGCCTCCACAAATCTGGCTTGGCCAGGGTCTACCCAAACTGACCAGTATCCACACAACAGCAGTTATTTTCAATTTATCATTGTCTACCTAAGGACCAAAAGGCAATCCTATTATACCCTAGGTGTGCTAAAAACTTTGTGCTCCTGTTAGAGTTTTTAGCGTGACAGGCACAAACAAAGAGACCCTAGCAAGTCTCTGCTTTGCCAGATGTCTCTGCTCATTCTGAGTGTCCTTTGGAAAGAGAGGCAGGACAAGGAGCTTCCTGCAAGGCCCCAGATGGAGGTGTTAAGCCAGAAGTCTCAAGGGGTGTCACTTGGGTGGAGCCTACTATCCTTGGCTCGCTGGCACATATCCTGGACGAAGGGAGTCCTCCAGACTCGGCCTCCAGGCGCCGATATGGGGTGTTGAAGAAGAGCACCAGGACACAGGTGAAAAGGGTGCACAGACCAGCCAGCAGCAGCAGAGACACTGAAACCACAAGCACAGGTCTGTCCCTCTACTGCCCAGGCAGTCAAGGTCCCCAGCTTCCACCATAGGCAAGCCTTGGTAGACCTGACACAGCTGACCCTGTGACAGTGACCACAGAGAGGTCTGCAAACAGTCTCAGACCTCAACAGCCTGCAGGATGTTCCCAGACCCAGGTTCCAACAGCTGGGAACCACAGGTTATGGGGACACGGGTATCCTTCTGGTCTCTAACCACACTCATCCGCAAACCTCTGTCTCTGTCTCTCTCAATCCTGTCTATCTCTGATCAACCTCCCCCCATATGTCCAGGTCTCTATGCCCCTTTCTCTCTGTGTTCCTGCCTCTCTTTCTATATAAATCTCTATTTCTATCTCCGTCTTTATCTCTTTCTCTCCTTTTCACTTCAAGATCTCCGCCCCCTTTCTGCCTAAGATCTGTCTCTATATTCTTGGATTTCGAAACATGTCACGAGGGGGCAGGGATACTGATGCTGGATTTTTGTCAGGGTCTTGGGACTACACCTACAAGCAGAGCCCAGGCATCTGACCATACTACTTCACAGCCATACCAACTGGTGTGGTTGGGGAGTAAAGAGCAAGATCCAATATCCTCAACTGGGCCAGGCCTCCTAATACCCTATCTTACTGGTCAGGTCTTAGCTTTCTGGAGCCAAACCCTGGGCTCAAACACTCACCTGTCCAGTCTAGAGGCTCCTCGCCCTGCCGACAGGTAGAAAAGGATGGGCCCGTTCTCCGCATGGTCAGCGCCGTCAGCAGCAGCATGATGACCACACCCTCGGCCTGCCTAGATACAGAGGGCCCTCAGTCTGGGCAGCAGAGCTCTCTGCCCACCACACCGAATGCCATCTTGGGAAGGAAAAAAACACCTATGGCCACCGGTGTGACACCTGTAACTCCTGAAGCAGCAAGCTGCCTTAGTCCACATTGGCGCTGCAGAGCACTCAGTACATGCTTATCCCCGGTCAGAGCCAAGCACGTTCCTAGCTTCGTGGATCAGGAGCCATGGCACAAGATCCATAGGGAAAGAATCCATGCCCTGGGAGAAGTGACCAACGCAGAAGGATACTCACCCCAGGACAAAAATCAAGCCAGAAGAGGCACCTTCACCCACAGGAAACGAGCATTCAACTGCCAACTCCATGACCACGGGTGCCACTGAGAAGCCAAAGAGCCCCAGGAGGGAGCAGATGGCAGCCAATGCAAAGGTCTGTCCCTGCAGCTGGGACACCTGGCACCAACAAAGGGGTAGAGAAGAATGGAACAGGGATGGCGGTGAGTCATGCCACCTCCCCTGTGAGTTCTTAGACTGAGTGACAGAGTGTGGCAGTGAAGCCAGTCCTACCCAGGGTTACCCAACACTGAGGCGCCAGCTCTGGGAAAGCAACCACTGTACCTTCTGTCCCTCACCCGCCCGCCTGCCATAGTCTCCCTCCATCTTTGTTCCTGATGAGTCTCACCAGAGCAAAGGCCACGAAGGTCATGGAAGTCAGACAGAGGCCTATCTTGGTGGCTTCAGTGAAGTGCTTGGTCCGATCCACATACAGGCCTAGAAGCAGGGCCCCCAAAATCCCAAACACGATGAAGAGAGCCCCACAGAGGCCTGAGAACTCCTGGAAGTGGGGAGGGCAAGCTTAGAACCATCTGGAGGCAGGGAGTCAACAAGGCTCCTTAGAGCATACGTCATCACCAGGGAGGTTCCAGAGGACCAGTCTAGGCAACCCTGTCAAGCTGCCTCCTAGGATGGATTTTCTACAATGTGCACCTCACTAAAGGGAAAGGGGTATCACCACAGATACCCCATAGACCCTAGATACATGCCTATGGCCATGAGAGACCTACGCCAGCCACTGTGTCAGGAGGCAGAGGTCATGACCCAGAGATATATAAACAGCCATGGTTACCACCTCCATGAGAGGCTGTTGGTCTCACCCCTATCAGGCAGGGGGTGAACTGGGTGCTCAGGAGCAGTAGGTAACCCTCGCAGAGGCAGAGCCCACTCCAAAGGCAGGGTGACAACTTACATTGGAGTAGCCATTGGCACAAAGGATCTGTTCCAGGAGGGCGGAGAAGCTGGAGAAGATACCAATGCCACCACCGAAGCATATGGCCAGGATGACATAGGCCTTATTCTGGATGAGCTAGAAGGAAAAACAGCCCTCAACTCAGGAGCCCAAGCAAGCTTCTGAACACAGCTTCCCCGCCCCCAGAACCCACATAACCCACCAGTTTGAGGCCATGGAGGAAACTCTCTGAAGTAGAACTGGCAGCCCCTGTAGATGGAGGGCTAGGAGGCACACTCTCCCAGAGGCAGGCAGTGGCCAAGAGACAGGCAAGGGCAGCAGGGATAATGTAGATACCAAGCTGGGGAGAGATTCTGAGTGTCACAAAGAAGCCACACTAGTGATGCAGCCCTAGAGAGGCATATAAGACTGGAGAGACAGATCTCAGACACAGTCTCATCTGAGATTCCTGGAGGCAGGATTGCCATTTCGGACTGAGGTAGAAGTAAGAAATGGTAGCTGGCTGTTTTGCTTTTCTGACCAATATCTGTCTCTGGGTTTTTATTAATCATGCTACACCACACTGACACATGTGTCCCCACATGTCTCAGTCTGCTCTGTCCTCCTTACTAGCTGGCACCTGCCTTTAATCTCCAGAATCAGCAAACCCCACTCCTTTGGGGGGCTGTATCCCTCTACCCTCATCTGTTCTTTATGGCTGTATGTAGAACCTCACATTCAGAATAGCACTCAACGATGAATCCCTTCTTGATAACACCAGCCCTACTTCCCAAGGCTCCAGACTTAGCCCCACATAAGAACAGATCATGCTAACATACCTAGAATGTCATAACAACAAGCATTTGTATACACCAGGTATATGTGTGTGTGTGTGTAGATCACACACCAGTAAAACTACCATATGTACTGTCCCCAAGTATATGTATACGCTCAAGTTCACACAGCACACATGCCACATGTAAGATCATCAAGAGCCCCTCACCATCATGGGGATGTCTTCTGCCTTCTTGACTAGGGCAGGAGATAGCACATTTGCCACAAGGATGCCCAAAGGATTAGCTGGGTAGAGAAACAGTTGTATAAGCTCAGCTGTGACAGGCCTCACTCCAGACCTTGGAGGGAATCCTGCCTGATTCAGGCACCTTAGCCTTGGCCCAAGCTGGAGAGCAGAGGACACACATCCAGCAGGGTCTGTGAGCTGAGCCCAAGTTGCAGAGGTCCCACCCCAGGACTCACACATAGTGCCGATCATGTTAGCTGTGGCTCTCTGGTGCTCTGGGAACCATAAGGCAGCCAGCTTGGCTGGAGAAGAGATGACCAGGGTCTGGGCCAAGGCACAGAGGCTCTGGCCACTCATGAAGAAGGCAAATGGATTGGGGATCCTGACATCCAAGCAGGGCACAGCACGTAGCAAACTCCCAGCAAAATTCAACCATGCACCCAGGATAGTCTGTAGGAATGGACAGTCAAAAGACTATATGCCAGTCAAGACCCTTCATGCCTACATCTCCAGAAGCCCACCCCTACCTTATATGGATACCCCAATATCTACCTGCCCTCCCCAGATGCTTTGCCTGGAGAGCTCAACCAGAGGGACTAGTAGACTCTAATCTGGAGATGAGACCAAACTTCTGCACCCAAAGTCCCTCCTCACACAGGTACAGAATAACTTACCGCTTCACGGAGCCCAACAGAGTCCAGAACCCAGATGGCTGCCATGCCAAATGGGATGGATACCACAAGGTAGACTAGTGACAGCCAGTTGATCTGCTCCATGGACAGTAAGAAGTGCTGTGCGATGGTGTCTGCTACAGGTGCAAAGCTGAGCCATAGCTATGGGACACATAATCAGCTATAGGTCACAGACATTACCTAGACAGCTCTGCTCTGGCTGAAGCCTACGATCCACACTTGACTAGCTCAGGGTTGGAGCAGGGGTCTGGACATGCCTGTAAAGTCTATGAGGACAGAGCCTAACAGAAACTTGGGGTCACCTTGCTAGAGAATCACCCTTATTCTGTTACAAACCACGAAAGCAGCCAGGTATGGCCCACAGCCTGCCCAGTAGTGAAACATGAACCAGCATAGAGGCAGATATGAGGCCAAAAAACTGGCCAGAGTCTGAAGGACCACTAACCTCATCAGGATTGTTCTGAATCTTTGAGGCTAAAGGCAATCAATGGAGATGGTGTCCATTGCCTGGGAGGTACTGTGTTGAAGGTGGTGGAAAGATGAAAGTGGGCAGCTGAGACTTGGCTGTGAGTAATGAGAGACAGAGAAGCCAGAATCCCAGTGGGTGGAATACCCTGCACACTGGTGGGTCATAGCACTTAAGGACAGTGCTGGAGCTGAGCTGGAGCACACAGGTAGGAGGGGGAGATATGGGTGCGAGTGCAGATGGTAGCCATGGTTCCAGATTTCATGGTTGAACAATGTGCTGAGACAAGGTAGACAAGGAACACATTTTGGGGGAGACTATGAGGCCTGGTGTGTGGTGGAGACTCCATGCCAGACATCCAGACACAGCTAAATGATGCCTTGGGGGCTCAGAACATGCATGAGGACCAAGGAGGGGACAAACAGGGCCAAGACAGAAGAGTTCAGAGCCCAGGATTTCTTTAGGGATGACATGGAATCAATGACATCTTTCTCTCTCTGCACATCCTCCTGTCTTAGGCATTACAAAGCATAGGGACTCTGAAGCCCAGAAGAGTGAAAGAAATGTGGAGGAAGTTTTTCTGTGGGGGCTGGGCTGAGTGGAGAGAAGGGGTCACCCAAGCTTAGAACAGTAGAGAGGATAGATATGTGGCCCAACAAGGGTGTGTCCCCAATCAAAGTTCCTGATAAACCCTACTCAGGATGTCAAAGGTCCAAGCCACACCCACCACAGCTGAACAGAGAGTGTCAGGCTTCCCAACCACAAAGCCTCAGGAAACCCCAAGGTTGTGCAACAGCTGCATTTCCTTCTTTTCTCAGGGGACTAAACAAGAACAGATAGGTCTCCCAGACTTAGAAAGTGCCCCATGCAAGCCCAGTTGCCTCCTGCCTGGCCTCATAGAGCAAACAGGGACCAGGTATGTTTTCAGAACCTGTGTGCTGAGCAAGAAAAACAGAGCCCGCCGGGCGGTGGTGGTGCATGCCTTTAATCCCAGCACTGGGTAGGTGGATCTCTGTGAGTTCGAGGCCAGCCTGGTCTACAAGAGCTAGTTACAGGACAGGCACCAAAAACTACAGAGAAACCCTGTCTCAAAAAAAAAAAAAAAAAAAAAAAAAAAACCACCACCAACAACAACAACAAAAATATACACAAAAAAAACAAAAAACAGAGCAATCTCTCATGTTTGTTCTTGTTCCTCCCAGAGCAGTGGCCCACATACAAGAGGGCAGAGATATCTCTAATATGTGTAAGGCAACAGATACGGGAAGAAAAAAAGTCCATCCATCTCACCTACTGGACAATACTTTCAACCAGCTCTCAGCCTTGCCCCAGCTCACCCCCTGACCTCCTTCTCATGTAAACCACAGGGCCATCTTTTGGTCTCACAGCTAGGCGCCCCTCAGGCTGCTCTCTCAGAATCCTGGAGCCCCATCACCAGCTACAAACAAATGAGCAGGGACTCCAGGAAGCATGACTGATCATGAAGCCCACAGGTCACAATGAGGACCCAGCCAGGATCATGACAATTTTTAGCATCAGGCTAATATTCTGTTTGCTCCATAAGGACAGCAGGACACTACCCAAGTGTCCCAGGATTTCCCACATCTACAGAAGGTGAGATTCAAGTAGATTCCTGCATGTATCCACAGACATACATCCCTAACCAATTATGTTTCCTAATTCTAGACACTGGACCTGTGAGCCAAGCCATAGCAGCAAGTCCCAACTAGTAAAGGCAGCTACCAGGAGAGAAGTTTCTGATACTGTCACAGTTAATAAGCTCCAGCTGTATCCCTCTCTTTTACTCAGAGCTGTTTCTTCACAACAGCAGAAAAAAGACAAGGCCATCAGAACCAACCTACTGCTGGTTCACACGGGGTACCAGTGGGGTAGCCGAACCCATGGTACACGGCTGTACACCATCTACACCGAGGGCTGTACCTCCTCATGGCCCCCAGGCTTGGCACTCTCTGAGCTATATTTGTTACAACTCATAGCTGCATGGCCCAAATGCTATCCATTCAGCTAAGTGGCCACAGTGTAACCCAAAGTTTCTTCACACGTTCTAGGGAGACCCAGCACCAGAGAGGTGCAGGGTTGGCTGTCTTTGAGCGGCAGACGGTAACAGCTCCACGCTAGGGAGGAAGGATCACTAGCAGTCTACCTGTGCCTGACGGGATGAAGAGGGACCCCCTGACATTAGCATTTGGAAGGGTATGAGAAGAAAGCAACAAGTTGAAGAGTTGAGATCCTTAAGACTAACCGACCTGTCGCCCTGGCTGTTCCCTCCCAGGCAGAACAGGTATTTACCCCTTCTTTTACAACCTCTTGGACTAGAAGAAAGGTCGGTTCCGTGAAGAAGCAAAAACAAACTGGCGCTGGGGCTGCTGGAAAGACCCCGCCCCGCCCGCCCCGCCCGTCCCAGCGCCCGGTACCGTCGCGTTGGAGCAGCTGAGAAGGCTGACCGCCAGCAGAAAGACCCAGCGGCGCGCATAGGCGCGGGGACCAGGCACCTCTTCTCCGGCGTTTGCAGATGTTCCCGACCGGTCCCAGGCTTCCAGCCTGTCCCCCATAGTCTCGGCCGCCTGTGTGCATTTCACGGCAAAGTGCTGAGCGTGGGTAGGATATCCCAGGACCAGGGCCGGGAGGAATGATCTGGTTAGTCCCCGCCCCAAAGCAGAAGTTGAGTGGGAGAAGCAGGGTTACCCTCCGACAGAGGCCAAGATGGAAACCGGAGGGATAAAAATCCCTTTAGAGCTAATTTTTACCACAGCCTGTGTGTTCTGCACCGGGAACTTCAACCGCGGTGGTAGGTGCCGGAAAGGGGTCTCTACTTGAGCAAAATCTGCATTTGCTGAAAGCCCCCCCCCCCAAATTCTTGAGGTCCTAAGTAGCAGCTCATTAACGGCCCGAGGCCAACCAGGAGGAGGAGAGTGGGATCAGTTTTCCAAAAACCTCCAATCCAGGACAGTTACTAGACTCCTCCTTGAGGAGGAAGGGGCGGGGTGGAGGACTAGGAAAGGCAGTGCCTGGCTACACCACCCCTGCCTACAGGTAGGCAGCCGCCAACTCCACACAGGGCTCTTTAATTTGCACCTGGAAAACAGCTGGGTTGAGTAGGCAGGGTCAGTTGCTTTCTGTGATTAGAAAGGAGACCTGGCAAAGAAGGAGTCACCTGACTCTGGGCTAACGCTGTTGATAGGAGTCATCCGACGCTTGCCACTGTGGCTGGTTCAAGAGAAGCCCGGTAGGCCAAAGTTCCTGTTCAGACTAGTGAGAAGAGCTGTTGGGGCAAGAACAGGGGGGACTGGCCAGGCAGGGTGAAAAAGTGAGTTTCTCACAGCGAGGAGGCTTTTTCTGCTGCAAACACATCCCTATGGTCTTACCCTCAAGATTGCTATTCCTTTTGTTTGTTTCTGGGACTTAGGGATTTAGTTTTTGAGCTGGGGTCTCACTTGTGTAGTCTAGGCTGTTTATCTTCAATATTGGACGGTACCACCTTAAACCATGCAGGCATGAACAAGCTCGCTATGTGGTCCCAGCCTTTGGTGTGTTCTTAGTGAGGCTGTGTACATGTCAGCTGGATTCTCCCATTTGGGGGTGAAGTCCTGTCCAGTAAGGAGAAAATGAGCAAAACCGTGGTGATATCCTGAAAAGGGCAGTTTTAGTCTGAGACTCATGATGACGCCTATGGTCCTTGCCCTCTTCTCTGCCATTTCCATTCCTGTCTCACCCCTGCTTACCCTCAGTCCACAGTTTGTGGTCACTTCCCTGAAGACCTGGTGTCCCATCCATACCCTACCCCTGCGGCCTAGAGCTGCCCTTGGCTGGGGACTTTGACATCCTGATATTCTGTCTGGGAGACTGAGAGGGTAGTTCAGGCTTCACTCTTCTCGGTTCAGGGCTCTAGCTTAGATGGAAACATGCCTGTCACCAGTTTCTGGTTTAGGTAGCCTATCTTCAAATGGGGCATCACCAACCATAGTTACTTCCTGTACTGCCTGTATTGTTTAAATAAACCTTCTGACCTGCCACTATCTTAGGGTTCTTGTGCTAAGCAAGTTCAACGAGGTTATCAAGCATAAAATCAATACACAACCAATAGCTCTCTTCCTAAACACTCTACCAGTGTGGACAACGTGGAAACCAAAATGAAAAACAATACATTCATGATCTCATCAAAGATAATACTCAGCTATAAATTTAACAAAATACATATAGCACTTATATGCTAAAAATTGTACAACACTAATCTAATGAAAGAAACCAACAAAGACCTAAAGAAATGAACAAGCATACTTTACTCAGGTACTGGAAAACTCAGCATGTTAGCTTATATTAGTTTTCTCTGAATTGACTTATAAGATTAATGCAGCTTCTATCATGAGGTCTTTCTTTCTTTCTTTCTTTAAATATTGAACATGGATTTATTGTTGTAGATGCTTGAATATTGTAAGAAAAGATGTAACATAAAATGAAACATAGAAATTTTAAAATGGATAAAAATCAAGGAATAAGTGAAAACTGTATGTGGTATAAGGTATCTGTTCATAGGCCTCATTTGTCTTGTTGAGAATGATTTTGAAAAGTTTGACCTGGAAAAAATATTGAGAATTATCTCATGCTCCAAAACTAATGGGTAGGTTCCAGGTTTGATTAGAAAAGAAAGGGTCTCATTTTGTCTTCCTGGTTGGCCTAGAACTCGTTATGTAGACCAAGATGGTCTTATATTCACAGAGATCCTCCTGTCTCTGTCTCTGCTGAGATTAACGAACTGTGCTATACTCGGCACATACATGCACATTCAAGAGGATTTTCTACACACAGATGGAAAGAAAATATTTGCAAACCGCATATCTAACAAAGGACAACTGCATAGTGTTTTTCAAACCCGATTAGAATATGGGCAAAAGGGCTGGAGAGATGACTCAGTCGTTAAGAGCGCTGACTGTTCTTTCAGAGGTCCTGAGTTCAATTCCCAGCACCCACATGGTGGCTCACAACCATCTGTAATGAGATCTGGTGTCCTCTTCTGGCCTGCAGGCATAACACTGTATACACAATAAATAAATAAATAAATAAATAAATAAATAAATAAATAAATAAATATTTTTTAAAAAGAATATGGGCAAAAGACTGAAGAGAATAAACAGATGGCAATTAAGGATTAATGACTAACTTTATTAGCCATCAATAAAATGCTAATTAAAACCATAATGAGCTAATACCACACCTCTTTTTAGAATCTTAAATAAAAATACTGACCATTTTAAATGTTGTCAAGGCTATAGAAAACAAGTTGGCAGTTTCTCATAAAACTAAGAAGGTAGTTATCACATAACCGAGCCATTTCAGTCATAAATATTTATCCATTAGAGATAAAAACCTGTAGCAACTTTATTTGTGATCATCAAAAAAGTGTAAACACTCAGGTGTCCTTCAGTCAGTGAATGGTCAAGTAAACTACAGCATAAGCGCTATGAAATATTACCCAAGAATGAAGAGCAAATACATATGGTGTCCTGGAAAAGTGGGCAGAGTGAGAGTGTAAAAGCCAGCCCTACAGGTGAGATATATATACACATATACATATATATGTATATATATATGTGTGTGTGTAAAACAAAAAATATATAGGACAAATATATATATATGTATATGTATATATAACAAATGGAATCACACCATTTGCAATGGTTTGGTGTGGTCTGGGTGTGTTTCTCAAGTGTCCCTGTGCCATAAGCTTTTCTCTTAAAGTGGTGATATTAAGATGGAAGAGGCTTTAAAAGATTGGGCCTTGCCGGGTGGTGGTGGTGCATGCCTTTAATCTCAGCATTTGGGAGACAGAGGCAGGCGGATCTCTGTGAATTTGAGGCCAGCCTGGTCTACAAGAGCTAATTCCAGGATAGGCACCAAAGTTACACAGAAACCCTTGTCTTTGAAAAAAAAAATGGGGCCTAGTGGGAATCTTGTTCTCCAATTTTCACAGGATCTTAAGTTAGTTCTCCATATTATTATTTAAAAAGAGAAGCCTAGGTGCCAGGGATTTCTCTCAGTGATAGGATGATTGTTTAGAATGGGCAAGATCCTGAGTTCAACCTCCAACACTGGAAGAAAAGATGGTGGGGAAGGGAAGAGAGGACAAAGCTTCCTTAGCCTATCGCCTCACTATGACTTCCTGACTGCCAATGCGATCACTCCCTCTAAGCAATGTTCCCTTCATTATGACAGCATTCACCAGAGTGGAGGTGATGACTATGCCAAGCCTGAATCCCCAGACATGTATACCAAACACCCCTCTTTTCTTGTAAGTTACCCAGGCTCATGCATTTCATCACAGTAACCAAAGATAAACTAACATAATATTTATATATAACATTTTTGTAAAGACAAAACTTTAGAACTGGAGAGTGGTGGTGGACAGAGCTCAGAGGCTAGGGTGGGAAAGGTGGGTTGTGAAGGTTCAACAGTAGGGTCTTTGTTATGCTGATGGTATCCTTCATATGACCATGAAGGAAGCCTGGCATCTCCGGTAGTGATCTTCAGGGGCTTGGTTAACATTCAATCCCCTAGTCATGATGAAATCTATATTAAGTGTCTTTCCTTCTATTTTAAACCAAATTTATACTTCTTCCAGCAGCTGAAACCAACACGAAGAATGGCTTCTCAAGCCTGTTTGTTTTTCCCAAACAGTATCTTGTCAAAAATCAAGCAACTGATACAAAGAGAATATGAAGCAAGGCCCTTTTTTCTGGGATACTACCAGGAATAATATTCTCTGAGATGAGACGGGGCCAGAGTCCTGCCTGTTATTTGTTTGTTGTTCACCTGCTCCTCCCAGAGAATGTTGGGGATGTTGAGGGAGAGGGCCCCCACCTGTGTATCCCAATTATTTGTGTTACTATAGCTGCCTAGATCTTGGGAAAACAAAGGTGCAGGAAAAGAACCCCTTCAGCTGTGGGCCACTCCTCTACACAGCTGTCAGGCACCCACATACAGCTGTGTAGCGCCTCCCGGACCTATCTGGTTCCCACAGCAAGTCTCCCTCCTGTATCTGCCCAGTGACTCACCTGTGCCTCACTAATCTAACCAGGGCCCAGCTGCAGGAAAACCATGCAAAGTACACACACCCAGCAGGGACCTTGCTAGCATATCAGTATCCAGACTTTCAGGTGCCTCCAGCTGATTGACTGTGACTTCATCCTCATGACCATGGAAGGGATCCATTGCTAGAATGTGAACCTTTTTCTTTCTTTTTTGGGTGAAGTCTCTGATCACTGTTATCTGGACTCTAGTTTGTCCCTACAGACAAGGCCCCCAAGTGTCCACTTCTTTTCTTCCCTTCCCCATCCAGCCCCAGAGCTCTCATAAGCCCCAAAATAGAAACCAGAAAGTGTCTATAGCTCAGCCTGCAGCCCCCACCTCAGGACTGCATGGCTCCAGAACTATTAATCTCTTAAAGAAGCGAAATCTTTGGTTTTCTCATTTGTATGTATAGTATTGAATAGAAATTTTCTGATTAAGTATGGTGTGAAATATTATTGGGTATCATGTGTGTGTGTGTGTGTGTGTGTGTGTGTGTGTGTGTGCTACTGAGGCTTGAATGCAGACCCTTGTACAGGCCAGGTCAATCACTTTACCATGCAGCCACACCTTCATCTCCTGTATCTTTCTGTATAAAAATCTGATGTTTATACTGTGCATTTATCTGGACTGAAACTGGTATTTAGTTTGTGTTAATGTTTTATGTCCTTGCATAATATTTAGGTTCTCGTGTGAGATGTGAGATGGGTCTGTCCTTTGTGTATATGGAAATGGTTATCTGCCTTTTTTGTTTAAGTGTGACCAGGGGCTTCTAGTTTAAGAACATGCAGATGTAAAGAGTATCTCTTTAGGGGCTAGAGAGATGGCTCAGCAGTTAAGAGCACATGTTTCTCTTGCACAGGACTCTGGTTTGATTTTCAGCACTTGCAGGGTGGCCAACAACCATTTGTAATTTCAGTTCAGGGGATACAATGCTGATACTTCTGACTTCAACTGACG